CCCTTACCTGGGTCTAGTCAAAGACAATGTCACGCAATCTAGTTTAGCTAAGGGACTTTGGCCCTATTTCCAAGCAAATTATAAGTTTTTTGCTTCCAAACGCAAAATCAAAGAATGTTGATGTTGGAATTATCATTTAATTAGTTGGTATAGACCCTAACTGTTACTACAACTGCATGCTACCTGACGTTCTCCAAGTAGGGACAAGTAAAGAGCTTTGTGTCGTCCTTTGATGTTCATCACCTCAATGTCAAAATGGAATGCAGCATGGAAACACTTAGCTGTCGCATTTTACCTGACTTGTGCGTGTCACATAAGTTGAAAGTGTCGCCAAAAAATTGGGTGCCTTCGTCCCACCTTCTCTAACACAACTGCGCAAACATTTTCGTGCGCGATTTACTCTTCAGCGGCCATAATATCTTCGTCTAAAATAGTCTCACATGGGCCTTAATGTGACAAAGTTTGGGAGATTTCGATTTTTCCATCTTGCACACCTACCGTGGTAGTTACAGAAAGTCGCTCTTAAAGACAAAGTTCCTGTCTGCTGCGAAAAACTTCTAATAAAGAATTTTAAGACTGAAATGACCAAGAAATGCTTCGAGTCAAAAGCTACAGTCAAAGAAAAGCTAGATTTGTTGTTGAAGGCGAAATAAGTAAGAATTTCTCACTAATTGAATCGTTATTGACTTCGCGGTCACAAAATTTCGTAGCCCAAGCTTAACACTTCAAGAAAGCAATACATTTAGACGAAGAGGACGATGTTGCAATGCGGCTTGTAAACAAATATGACTCGGTCGAGATCGAGCTTTTGCTTTCATGGTATAAATCAGTCTCACTGTTACATCTAAATAGTGCACTTCAACTTTGCAACGATGGCTTGAAACACCGACTTAGAGTCTCCTCAAGGTTTGGAGTTTGAGTTGAAGTGACTCCCGAAGTATTCAGAGGATACGAGGAACTCACCTTCTTCAGACTTCTTCAGAGTGTCGACTTCCTTGTCAAAGACTCGAAATGAAAGGCAGAAGAAATGCATTAAGTTTCGCTTCAGCGATTACACCAGTCTCCTTCGCAGCCGTCTTTCGGAATGTCACGCAACGCTTCCCTGAAAGACGGCTGCGAAGGAGACTGCGATTACGGATCAATATGGATTTGTTATTCAATATTTACGGCGAGCGAACATCATGATCAGCAGTATTCTTGTTTATTCTGAAGGAAAAATCGCATTAATCCTAAATAATAATGAAAAGAATTATCACAATTAGCAATTTTACACTCAATGAATATTAAGGAAACATTTGATCACCAAGCTACGACGGTTTCCCATGACTCTCCTGGATAATAGAGCCTAATGTCATAATTGTAGGCAATAGAGTATTATATGTCAGAATAATTAACAATTATTCCACGAGTGCACGTTGGATATGAGATGATAGATAGCCAACGAGGCGCGTAGCGCCAAGTTGGCTATAATCCTCTCATATCCAACAAGCGAGGGTGGAATAATTGTGTTATTTAAAAATCGCCCCTAAGGTACTAGACAAATCTTCTCAACTTTATTTTGAAGGAAGAAACCGAATGTTACAATGTACAGATATTAGACTATGGTATATTGGCTCATATACCATAATGGCTAAGCCAATCAATAGTCTTGAATTGCATTATCCAATGATCCAGTTTTTAATAATTGATGTTATTCGCCTCACAAATTGGTGAAGGAATTACCGGGATGTCGTGGTTACTATCAACACACTTGATCCTGGGTCGATTTGTATACACAGGATGAAACTAGATACGAATATTTTGAATTATATCACAGCCAGACAAAAGATAAGAAAATAAAAAAAAAAGTTAACCCAGATCGGTGGCTAGATGCGGATCTATGTCGTTTCGATCATACATTCCATCTCCTAAGGACTAAACGAGAACGTACAGGACTGTGATAAGAAAATGTCAGCGTCTTCGTGGTCTTGGAGGTCAACTGGTTTATCGTTATACTCTATATTTCCTGTTCATTTGATGCAAGCAGAGACACAGCGCTTACATGTCAATCATAACTGTTTGTGCGAGGAAAAACTTTATGGATCATGGACTGAACTACATCGATGAGGACTGAGTGAATGCAACAAGTTGAATAAGAACAGATAGCAGTTCGCTGTAGACTATCCGCCTTTCACACTACCTAAGAAAAACTTTATGGATCATGGACTGAACTACATCGATGAGGACAGAGTGAGTGCAACAAGTTGAATAAGAACAGATAGCAGTTCGCTGTAGACTATCCGCCTTTCATACTACCTATTTCCAAATGCTATTTCTGCCTCATAAACTAAAGCATAAATACATATTTTATTTACCCTCTAATTTCAAGCTACCTTTATCACATAATTCGTAACTGGTTAGATAACTATCTCCGTCGGAATTCAAGGCTGCCCAATTACTGTTTAGTTCAACTCTTGGGAATCGTTGTAGTTGATGAGCGCTTTCTTACCTTTTTTTTTTTTTTTTTTTTTTTTTTACCAAACTAGCCTAGGGCGAGAACTTTACTGCAAGGATCATCAACATGAGTCCAGTCCATCGTATTAAACTTCATCTGTCATCCGAGCTAGAAAGCTTATCTGATAAATTGTCTGGCCACTCCTTATCAAAGAACATTCCAGCTCACACAGAGCGACTGTTTTACCACAAATCAGCTCTCTGTCTCGTAGCTTTCTGCTCCGATATGTCCTCGATAGTAACAGCCGTGTTTAAATCAACCATCGGCTTACTGGTGAACAAAGGCAGAGATAAAGTGGCGGAGAAGCTCAAAGATGGCGATGTTACAGATAAAAAAATTCGTGGCTTAATCGTGCGCGAAATCGACGATGTCGAGTCGAAGTTGGATGGCTTAGCAAGGAAAGATTTACTCGCAAGTATCAGCTTCTTTGAGGAAGGAATTGAGTTGTTATATGAAGTTTTTGAAGAAGCAAGGTCCATACGCGAGCCTGACGAGACATCGGCGGTTACTGCTGATGCAAGTTCTGTCGTTGAGAGAATGAAAAACTTGGATCTTGCAGAACTGGATGAATCAGCTGCACAGAAGCTTTCTGAGGCAAAGACGAGATTTGAAAAGGCGAGAATCGACGCAACAAGGGCCTTTGCTAACGAGGCTTTAACCATTTCTGATCGCATTCTAGCGATGCAGTATCGAGTTATGGCGATTATTTTAAAGACAGTCCGTCGAACGCATTAGCACCATGCAGAGTTTGTATCAAAGAACTAAATTCTCTGCCAGCGGTACAGAACATTTTCAATGTTCAGTTGAAGACAGGCATCCAGGTAGTAAGAGGTTTCCTCAGTAGAAAAGAGAGAAGGAAGAATGTTGTCGAAGTCTGTCACGTAAATCGTGTCATCTACGATGTCACGCGAACTGTTGGTGAAGACACACACTTATGGATCTGGCCTCCTGTTGATATTGGAGAAAACAAAATCGATCCATTGTCTGACACAAGAGTAACTAAAGTATTAGTTGAACAAGGCATGGAGCACTGTTGTGTTACTCCATGGTCATTTGGTCAGGAGGGTGAAGAGTGGCACAAGTTGAAGGAGCCGACAGGTATTGCTACAAACTCCAGCGGAGAATTCTTTGTAGCTGACGGTGAAAACTTAAAGATGTTTGAAAGTAGCGGTAAGTTTGTGAAACATATCATTCTCCCTTTCGATGACACAGTTACTGTGAACGCAAAGCTACGCATATGTGATGTGGCCTTAGACATGAGCGACAACATTTTCAAACTGGGCCAACTGGAGAAGCCTGGGACTGAGAAATCTTTGTGGGTGCTTTATAAACTTAGTTAAGCCGCTGAACCAAGGACTGTCAGTTAGTGCAGGCAAAGTAGTGGTACATAGTGAGCAATTGAAGATCGTAGTGCCGCTTGGTCAGCTTGTCCTGGCCACCAGCCGCCGCGTGGTGGTATATGACACAGATGGAAATTTTGTTCACAGTTTTGGAGAAGATATGCACAACTCGTTGTATATTACTGTTTGCAATGATGGCGATGTTCTAGATTTGACCGCTTCCTGTGTTCGCATATTTAGTGATGAAGGCGACTACCTAAACAAGTTTCAACTGCAGAGTAATGACTGTATTTACTCACGCATTACGTTTCACCCAGGAGGTGAACATGTCGTCATCGCTGGTTGTGAAAGCGAGAAAAATCTCTTGCATGTAGAAATATACGCTAAAGATGGTGAGTTTGTTCGCAGTGCACAAATCCAAATTGATGGAATATGTGAAGTACGAGATATTATAGTAACTAACGAGGGACGCATTGCTGTTTTAACTAAAATCAGGAAAGAGGCATGTTTGAATTTTAGGGTAAATGTTTTTTAATTTTTTTTTCTTGTTCACTTGTTTTCCAAACTGTCACGAACAATTGTTTGCCTCCAATCAAGTACTAGTCAAGGTTATCATTTTTTTTGGTAACTTCTAAACTATACTTTAAGTTAAAATTTTATTCTATTAAGATTGTGAGGTTTTACTTTTGACAGGTATTCCACAAGTCAGAAGCAAGCTACTATAGGTTAAATGTTGCTTTATTTTCAGAGATTTCTGAATTCTTGATGGCCGTATTCTGTACTCTCTTTGTTACATTAACTTTTCAAGGTGGGGGGAGTCAGTCTCGAACCAAACCATTTTAATGGGTATTTTAAACTTTGGATGATGCATTTCTAATTTTCTGATTGGCACACTCAACTCTGGTCATCAGCTCATAATCTGAGTCACCTAACATGAAAATGCATATTTACCAGAAACAATATGCAAATGTTTAGGATTTAATGACAATTAATCCATGTGTGCTTATTGGATATGATTTGTCATAGCCAACTTGGCACTATGCATCTCCTTGGTTATCTACCATCTCATGTCTTATGTGCACTCATGGAATAATTGTTAAATATTTCTCAGTATTGCTAAGCCATGCACCTTGCTTTTTATTACTTATTGAAGCCATCAAGTACAGCAAGTTCTGAATAAGGAATCTCACTAATGTGCAACACATCAACAGCGTCTATTTTACGGTTTCAAAAGGTGTGCATGTGAATGTTGTTGATTGTTTTTATTTAGGGATTGGGGTTATGGCACTATTAGGAATAGCATTCCAATTTTTTTCTGGCATTCTAATTGATAGGTATAACATTTACCTTGTTGTATATTAAATTATTAGTTGTTCTGCACTCTGCTGATGTAAAGTTAGCTCAAATTAGTAGGGCCAAACATACTTAGCAACTGCTTAGAGACTGGGTACAAGAGGGACAAACACTCTTTCTCAGCTGCTATTCTTTATTGTAAGTATTGTTTTCTTTTACTAAAATACAAGGGAAGTGTTGTGATTCAGGAATTGCATCTTACAGAATTTTTAGGCAGCTTTCCTCTTTTCTTGTTTAGACCCTAATGTCTTCAGTTTTTGCATTTTAATGTTGGCAATAAAGTAACTTTGCCAATTCCATTTTGACAGATGACTCCTACAATGTTATTTTAAGCTGAAACTTGGTTGGAATAAGTTGGTGCAAAAAGTTGGTAGATTCCAAGTCCAATATTCTCTGGTGATCTTTGCAACCCTCATTTTCAAATCTAGATGTGAAAATTACTAGGTGATTATATTGTTATTGCAATGAATCCAAGTTCTAACACGCCAACAAAAGATTCTGGGTAGTAATGTTTTTCAGGATTCATTGCATTAAGGTTTGAATTTGAGAACAAAGAAGGGGTTTCTTCTCAAAACTTCATTTTTAAATGGTAAACATCATGTTCAACAGAAATCTTAAATGTTGAAAATAACAGTTGAATTTTGGCAGGAATTCACTGCCACACATGTAATGATTTAACAATTAGTTCATACGTCAGCATGCGTTCATCGAGATATGAAGCACTTGGGAAGTTTGGAGAGCACAAAATATGCATAAGAGTTGCTCGAGGCATAGCTGAGAGCAACTCTAGCTTCTTGAGTGCTCTCCAAACTTTCCAAGTGCTTCATATCTCAATGAACACACAGCTGACGTATGAACCAATTGTTTTATAACATTTTCAACGCTGTAGTTTATGTATAAAGGGCAGAAATTTCCTCCTACGCTTCAAGGCATTGTTTATTTTGTTTCGAAAAGTATTTCGCTATGCTTCAATGATCTTGTCTCTGATTGGTCAACAACTGACAGGTGAATTCAAGCATGGAAATGAAGTTAGAGTTGTGAAACGAGATAAAACCGTTGATTGTTCTGTTTTCCCTTTCTCTGGGTTCTTTCTCGGGAGTTAAAAAGTTCATTCCCAAAGAAAAAGTAGCAGCTCTTCATCGGCTTGTTTGCTTATTGCCATATCTAATGTAACTTTTTTGCAGAAGTTTTTCTCGTTTTTTAATGAAAAATGCTGAAGTCACTTGCGTGAAAAAATTTTTTTCTTGAGAGATTTGTTTGTTGACGTCATGAGCATGCACAATAGGAATATGAAGCACGCTTGCGCAATTGAATTTGATTAGACAAACTTACTAGCCATGTTATAATTATAACTGTAATTACCTTCATAAACCTTCATTTAGAGATTATAGTCACAATTAAATGAATAAAACCATTTGTATAATTTTAAAAAGGCATGCTTTACATCAGCATCTGGAATTTATTGAACATTTCTATGAGTACTAGTATTGGTTAACCCATTAATAGCCGCAGCTTTTGTGAAAAACTGTGTTTTGAAGCTAGTTGGGCAGATTTTGGGTCACTGTTGTGGTTTTAAAAGTTCAAACTTACCACAAACCCATTGACAGCTTGTACACTCGACGGCCTTTCAATCCAAAGGCAAAATGGCAGCCTGAAAATCACGGGCACACGCAGAAAGCAAAATTTTGAGATAGTTTCTGGGTTGAAAAGTAATGCCACACTTACGACTTTTACTTTTCTCTCTTTCTCCTGCCCTTTTTTTCCCCTTTCCTTGCCTGAAGTTTTTCCTCACTTGCTGGAAATTTAGTAGGCTTCATTTTGATGTAGAGGTTTTTTAGGAAACTACTCATTATTTTCAAACCACATGCTCAGAAAGGTAGGTGGGTAATGGAACAAGATTTTCGTCAAAATTTTCAGATCAAAGTTTACATGGTTTTTTGGCTATTTCTCCAATCTCCTTCACTCGATTGCCCTCATTCTGGGATTGTTTGTAAGATATTTTCAACCTGTTCAAGTACGTGCTCAAAGTCGTGCTCCAGGGTTAAAAGTGATGACGTCACAACGCGTAGAAAGGGTGTGGGTCCACATGGGCGCTTACGGGCACACTGGATGTCAATAGGTTAATCCTGAAAAATAGATTTTTCCAAAAAAACTTGGTTCTTTGTTAAAAATCAATTTTAATTTTGTTTTGGTTTACCATTTTGTAAAATTTTGCTTATGCACTGTTGTATAGTAGCTATTCCAGTTTGGTCAAATTAAATTTTTTCACATGGTGTGAAAATTGTTACTGTGTAACAATAAACCACTGTTGTGTAGTAACCTATTTAATTGTCAGTGTAGAGAGCAGAAAAATGAAATATAAAAAAAATTTCCATGGGGGATAAACTTGAAATTATGCATCACTGAAGGGATAAATTGATCCACAGCAGTGGAATCTCACTTAAAGAATGCTCATGAAAATGAGAAGCTGTCCGGTTGAATTTTAATTTCTGACCACAAGTGTCTGCCTATGGGTGTTTATGAAAAACCCATAGTCTGTGTGTGTGTGAAATACTAATTGATACCATTGCACTATTTCCAGGCAGGCTGCCAACCACGAGAATAATGTGCCACCCTCTTTAAGCTGATTGTTATGATTCAATACTAGAGAAGAACACAAAGACAGAGACACAAATGTAAAATGACCAGTTTATTACAATTGCCACAGTTAAGAAGCCTTGCTAACATCTCAAGCAGTAACTATTTAATGCACACAGATATTTTCACAAATTTTAACATTCAAAACATTTTCAACATCTCATCAAGAACTGACTCCCCATAAGCTGAAAGACTCCTTTCAATACATGAATATTACTCATGATCAGCGCTGTTTTTTAGGCATTTTGTTTGTAGCCATCATTCCAATGACTCCCAAAGTCACAAAGAATCCAACAGCACATCCATAAACCATAAACCTGCAGGGAAAACATTGTTACTTTCTTAGCGAACCCTTTAACTCCAATGAGTGACCAAGACAGAATATCTCCCTACATTATCAATACTTCATTACACCACTCAGGCAGTCAGAGGACCAATAACTAAAATCAACCAATCAAAATGCTCTATTGCTGGTCAATATTCTCTCAGTATTGGACCGAATGATACCACACTTGTGTCCCTTTGAACTTCAGTCGTATAATAAATCTCTTATTAACCAAATAATTTGAATATATCAACAAAGTTGAAATGGTAAATTGAGCATTAGCCCTTCGTCGGAGCGAATAGGACGAATAGTCTTATTAACCAAGCTTGCTCGGGACCGTACTGGAAGAATATCGGCCCTTGGTCTTTTTTGTACAGCCCTCGCAGTGTTCGGTCCATACTGTCAAGACCTCGGGCCAATATTCTCCCAGTACGGCCCTCGCGCTTGGTTAATAAGATATATGTATCAAGCAGACAAGTCATGAGAATAAAGAGAAATATAATATAGGGGATCACCAGTTGATCCAATACCAAAGTCTCCACACCAACATTATAAGAATTGTATGGCAGAGAGTTAGGAGAATTACTATTGAGATTTTGGGAGTGAAAGGCTTAACTACAAGTCCTTTGTGCATATAGCCTGATAGCCTTTGTAGACTGAGAGACAACTCAATCTCATCAAAACACATCCATTCAGTAGTTCGTTATCCCTTGAATCAATTTCATTATGTGATTTTGTATGCATCTTTTTGAGCAAATAAGAATCAAAATACCAAAACCTGGAGAATAAACCCCAGAGAAAGGACAAAAACAGCTGCAAAAAAAAAAAAAGCAACATATTACACCACGTCTACCCTCTTCCTTCCCATCTAAACATACTGTTATGAGAATATTCCATAATTTTTTGTTGGCCTGTGACAAGTAGGAAATTTTGCATAGGCATTCCTTTGAAGGGAAAATAACAAGCCTGTGAACAACTATCTTACGAGGAAAACCCTTTCACTCCCAGAGGTAACAAAATCTAATTTCTCCTTCACATATCTATACATTTTCAAGTACAAAGGTGAGGAGAGGAAAGGAATTATCTGCCTGATTCAGTAGCAACTCTTCCAGGCTCAAATTATCAGAAATGAATAGCAGAGAGAACAGGGAATGGATATTTCAGCCATAGGAGTGGAAGAGTTAATTTCTACTTCTATCATGTGGATAAAAAATGCTGAAACCACTGTATTAAATGTAGACAATTTACCTTGTGAATGGAATTCCATATTTTCCTTTCAAATGTACAGGCAATCCATCTTTCTTCTGCAACAAAATGAGTTCGTCAGAAGACAGACAAGCCAAAAATTAAGGGAATTTACATCCCAGTGACCTTGTTAGAAACTGACTCATGCCGCAACCAAACTAAGTCAAGCACAAATGAAAACAGTGGCCTGGCTGTTACCAGTGCTTTTCTGAGCTACAAACCTGACATGCAGAGTTCTTAAGTCTTGCATCGAGGGAGAGAGTCGCATAAACAATCTCTCTATCACATTCTGAACCAGAATTTCTCAAGTATTTAAGGTTTCTGATTGAAGCTATTGCTTTTGAGATAGCAAACTGCTGCTTTACAAATTTATAGTAAATATCCCTCTGAATAAAATATACCACTTGTTGCCCTTGTGCTCCCTTTGAACATTTTCCTACAGAGGAAATTCTTGCTCAGAAAAGAGAAATGCAAGTATAACCTGCTTTATTTCTTCACAATCCCCCCCTCATCTGGTAATTGATGCTAGCAGCATCAATCAATTTTGAGGGCTCTTGGTGCACCACAGTGAACTAGTGCAACTTGGTGTGTCTTCACAATGAAAACTGACAACTACTAAATAAATGTACACCTTATATCTTACAAATCCGAATATTTCAAGATAGTAAAAGAATGTTACCAATACTCTACACTAAGAATGGCTAATTGAAACACCTTCCCTCACGAAAAAAAAAACATTTATAATACGAAAATCGATTCCTTCTTCATGATGTCGAAGAGCTTGGTTGATTATGTGCGTCACAACAATTTTCCGTGCTCGCCAACTTTGATTATCATATATACTGTAATAATATAAATAATCATATATAAAGAAAAACGCCGACGCATCCAGCTTTGCCGGCGGCGAATTTCCGAGCGAAAGACACACGATAAACGGAAAATAGCAGAGGAAGGAACACTTGAAAGATAAGCCTTCATTTATAATTTTGAGACAAGCGTAAAACACAATTTGTTCATGAATTCGATATCTACCGGCAGAAAACAATGTACCTGAAAATGTTGCTGATACAATTTGATCCTGTTTTGTCCAGTGATAGCATCTGTTAAGAGATCTTGGTGTATCCTTTGTTGGTAACCTTTCCTTGCTTCATCCATTTCCACGAAAGAACTATCAACGTAATTATATATTTGTTTCGTATAACAGGTTTAAAAGACAATATGGCCGCTCATTATATTGTCCGATAAGGACCTGGGATCAGCCTTAGAAGGGTAGACCCCAGATTTCTCACGCCCATATTCAAAGTGGCGGCCTGCACCGCCTTTTTGTCACCATAACGTCACGAGTTAAAATCTACATACCCCTTATCAAAGGTGAGTCGTATGTACCTGGTGAGTATGGTTAGCCAAATGTTGCAAAATTCAACAACTTGCATATTTATATTCAACAACTAATATTTATGCTCAACCAAATATATTTTTATTCAACAGTTTACAGTTACATTCAACATTTTATATTTATGTTCAACGACACACATTTTCTTTTCATATTCAACCCTAATTATTTTCATTCAACAACAATATTTATTCAACTTCAATAGCTATATTTATTATACTCAACAAAATTAATTGTTCAACTTCAGTCCAAACTTTTTACCCAACAAAAATGATTATTAAACTTCTACCATGCATAGTTATTTAATGACATACCTTCTATTGTGACTAAGTGTTTGAAAGTTCCCGGACATTCAAAATATCGTCATTCAACAAAATTCCCCGCCCCTACCCCAGAACTACACCCAAACATGAAACCCATCCCTTCCAATACGAAGATTATGGACTGGAACCCGATCATTCAATTTGCGCCAAAAATCAATATAGCAGCCATAACACTGGACGAAGATTCATTCTTCAATTGTTTTGAGGATGTTATGAGCTTGTTAAATGTTTGTGAAGAGAGAGGAGACAGTATTTCCCGACCATTTATAGTGAGGGTGATCAATTGCTTAGAATCAGCGGCAAAATTTGTCGAAAACGTGTTTGATTGTAAACGAGTGCAAAGGAGAGTTGACTGAGGTTGCTGGAAATTTAAGGGTTTTCTTCCACAGTTGGTGCCGAGAATTGACAGAACTGGGGTTAAGGAATACTCCAAACTGTACTCACTTAGCAGTATATCTGGTAAGTTCACCGGAACGTACAGTAAACGGAGGACCAGGGAGACCAAAGTACGAGATCAATGAAGAGACTTTGCTACACTTAAGAGCATTGGGATTTAAGTGGAAAGACATCGCAGAACTTCTTCTCGTCTCTCGTTGGACCCTGTGGCGACGGGTACGAGAGCTTGGTATCAGCGAGGAAACTGGCTTTACAATTATAGGAAATACAGATCTTGATGAAATTGTGCGAGCTTTCATGAACGTACAAGGAGGCCTTGTGGGGTATTCAATGGTTCATGGCCACTTGCGAAGTAAAGGTATTAATGTTCAAAGACAACGTATTAGAGCCAGTATTTCGCGAGTTGATCCGATCAACTGCCGCTTAAGATGGGCAACAGTGGTTTCCAGAAGAGCCTATTCAGTGCCTGGCCCTAACAGTTTATGGCATATTGACGGCCATCACAGTTTGATTACGTGGGGTTTCGTTATACATGGTTGTATAGATGGCTATTCTCGTTTAATATGTTTTTTGAAGTGTTCTACAAACAATAGAAAAGAGACCGTTGAAGGTCTTTTTCTGCAGAGTGTTGAAAAGTATTCGTGGCCTTCTAGAATACGAACTGACCATGGAGGAGAAAACGTGTTGACGTGGGAACGTATGAATGCATTTCGAGGCCATGATCGTGGATCCGTACTTATTGGAACTTCTACTCGTAACCAGAGAATAGAGCGTTTATGGCGAGACGTATTTCGATGTTTCGGTAACGTATTTTACTACACTTTCAAATCCATGGAGGAGTCTGGTTTGCTTGATGTTACCAACCCCCTACATTTGTTTGTTCTTCATTATGTCTACTTGCCCAGAATTAATGCTGCAATTGACAGCTTTGTTGAGGCCTGGAATAAGCACCCCATAAGAACTGAAAGAAATTGGAGTCCGGAACAAATCTGGTCCAATGGAATGATAGACAGAGTTAATGGAAGACTTACTGCAGTAGCTGATGTCAGAAGTGAAGCTAACATCAGTGGGCATGAGCATGAGTGGTATGGTTTTGACCCTGATGCACCACCACCACCTGATGATGGTCTGTCTACTGTCCAAGTCAATGAAGTGGATTTGAATTTACCAGATAACATTATTTCTAGGCTGTCAAACGAGATCAACCCACTTGGGAATTCAAGTGCTTTTGCAATAGATATATTCCAGAGGGCACTTGAATTTCTAGAAAACTTGCTTTCCACCCATAGTTCTCAATGGCGGGGAATTTTGTTGAATGACGATATTTTGAATGTCCGGGAACTTTCAAACATTTAGTCATAATAGAAGGTATGTCATTAAATAACTATGCATGGTAGAAGTTGAATAATCATTTTTGTTGGGTAAAAAGTTTGGACTGAAGTTGAACAATTAATTTTGTTGAGTAAAATAAGTATAGTTATTGAAGTTGAATAAATATTGTTGTTGAATGAAAATAATTTTGGTTGAATATGAAAAGAAAATGTGTGTCGTTGAACATAAATATAAAATGTTGAATATAACTGTAAACTGCGGATTAAAAATATATTTGGTTGAGCATAAATATTAGTTGTTGAATACAAATATGCAAGTTGTTGAATTTTGCAACATTTGGCTAATCATAGGTGAGCATGAGAAATACAATAAGGAATGACGGTCGCCTGCAAGCCTAGTCTCCCTAAATTTCAAATGAAGCTAAAGGTCGAGAGTGATTCGGCGGAAAAGCTTTTGTAACAGCCTGTGGCACAGGTAGCCTGATCTCGCACGATGTGCCACCTGAAATATGTTGAAAAAGAGGCAAATTCGGAAAGACGAGCCTAAAATCGGACGCTTCGGGTTTTGGGATTCGGGTAACAGGATTCGGGGTGTGGGATACGGGGTTGTTGAAAGGGAGATGTGCGATGCGGGGACGACTTCACTCGATGGTTTCTTATATATCTTCTAATTACCAATTAGGGGACACAATTAAAGAAGAATGTAACAAAGTTAGAAAATGGACACTTTGTCTCTTGTCAACAAGACACTCAACGTACCTTGTTTTGTTCAGTGCGCATATTCCTTAAAACAATAGCGACAAATAGCTGACGTTAAATTGACATTTTTATTTTTAAGTTTCACTATAAAGTTCAAAGTGGAGAATTCAGCATCTCCTACATACATGTGTTATAAATAATGACGGTGTCATTGAAGCTTTTTCGCTTTACTATACAACGCATCCACAACTTTTCCCATTTCATGAATCAGTTCCAGAGTATTTTCGTACGTTTTATCAACTGGGGTCTCGTCAAACACGACCAATACTCCAGAACCTTGATCAAGAATTCCTGAAATTTAACAAATATGAAAAAGTTTAAAATTCCAAATCGTAACACAGGTCGGGACATTTACCCAGTTTATAGGACAAGAGTGATTTGGAAAGCTCATGCAAGAGCCTGGCACCTCATTTCTATGTGGAGCACCGTTAAATCATAGTTACGAGAACGAAAGGAACGATCGGCATCTAAGAAAGAAGTTCATTGTTTCATTAATTCGCTCTATCAGTGCCTTAGTAAACGTATAGAGAACAGTATGGGGAGTACGCATAATGACGTTAGCGTGTAAAGGATTAAAATCTGTTACAGATACTGACCCAAAAAGGGATCTTTTCCAACCTTAGCATTCAATCTAAAATACTATTATATACACTCACTATAAGAGTAAGTAACACAAACTCTAAATTTGCGTTTCATAGCGACTTAGATTTCTATCAGTATGGCCATTTTTTACAACGTATAACAATTTCAGAAGATAATTGTCCGAGAGGGGCAGCACTAACTTAGTTGGGAATTATTTTTTAACCAAGTGCTTCTACACATGTGGCCCTCCCGGGACTTAGCTGTTGATGCACTTTTATCAAAAATAATAAAAAAATGTAATACACTAAAAAGAAAAATTACTGTTTCTTTTTCAAAAGAGCAAAGGAATAATGAACTCACCGTGAAGTTTCTTATCAAGAATCATCTGGGAGAGTTTCTTTTCAACCACATTCTGCAAATAAAACGTAATCAATCGATTGATTGATTATACAAGAAACGTATAATAATATGAAGATTATGAGACATCTACGTGACAAAAACAAGGTTTCAACCGACTTCAGAACAGGGGTGCCAACAAAAAAAAAAAAAAAAAAAAAAAAAAAAAAAAAAAAAAAAAAAAGGGGCGTGAGAACAGCATAACACCTTACGACGACTTGCTTAAATACATTTCATCAAACAGGAGCTTGGATTGATGTAAATTTCCGAAGGCAACAATAACAACAGCAACAAAATATTACAATAAGTGGTAAGCATACCAATGGAAGAGCAATGAGCTTTGCAACATGGTCAATCTGAGGTAAAAAAAAAAAAAAAAGACTAAGTTAGTTCGGTAAATATAAAAGTTGCATTTGAAAACTTCTGTGAGACAGTATTATTAGCACATTTACGCGTAGCAATCTGCAGGGGCCAAAAATAAAATAGAAAAAGCTGCACCTGAACACGAGCGAACGGTTCAATAATCCGACTGAGGTTCTGTTCCAGGAGGTTGTCATACAGTGCATCCAAGTGAGTCTAAAGGAAAAAGAACAACAACATAACAAGCTGGAAACAATGCAACTCTACAAAAGAAAGGTAAAATACGTTAAGCAAGAAAAATGTCAAGATAAACCTTTTTCATTCAGAGATAAGGTTATCATTAAAATACCCACAATCAAACCACCAAAAAGAAGGAGAGAACGAACCAGATTCTCTTGAGCAATTTAAGGAGTTAAAAACCCGGGAATGAACGCGAAAAGGCAGCCAGAGAGGGAGGTTACAACTAAAATCATGGAAGTTAAAGGTTTATCTACGAGTATACACAGGTCTGAGACGCTGAATGGCTTCCAGCTTACTCAATACCATCATCAGATTCTACTCTATTAACAGATTAGGGTTCCTACAAAAAAAAAAAAAAAAAATTCCTGTGTCTATACAGTCTTTTTTCCTCTTTTTTTTTCTTTTCTTTTTTCCTACTTACCCTTATAATAGGATCTTCTGTAAGCTCCTGTTT